TTGGATGCTTAACATTTACTTCTTATAACTACATATTTTATTATTCAAGAGCTTCCCTGAAAAACCTGTGTCATACTGTAATTTGTAATTTTAACAAGGTATGAAATGAACTGCAAGCACCACAAAACCTGAGTGCAAGAGTTTCTCAGGTAGTGAACACAACCAATCACCCAGCATCTCGATCAATGCGGCAGTAGTCTTTCTAAAAGTCGTGGTTATTTACAGCAGCTTTCAAGGGATAAACATATCCTCAGTTCACAGAGTATTTCTCCCAAAAAAAGCCAACAAAAAAATTATAAATACTAATAAACGGTTATTTCCTAATAAAAAAATTCAAGTTTCTGATAAGAGTAAAATACCAGATTTTTATTTTGGTGATGGCAATAATCTATAATAAAATTTATGAATCCATCATATTAAATGCTTTATTATCCTATCAATACAGAACCTGCTCATCAAATATCAGATAAAACTCTAAAATTATAAAAACAGGTAGCCTATGATATGAAGCTATGAACAAAAATCCCATCTTTCTGAACAGAATTGAGGTGCTTTAAAAAGCCAGGCACATGAGGTAACAGATATTTCAGTGACTGAAACCACTACCACAATAAGTAAATATTAGGAAAAAACTTTATGGAGTATGTTTTTAGTATAATGTGACATAAGATCATGCTATCACAGAAGGCCTTCTTTCACACTGTAGAAGTTAATAGAAGTAAAGGGTTACTAGTCCGGTCTGTAAACTGAAAGGTTAACAAAAAATTTTAGGTCATGGCACAACACTTCCTGGTCTGGTTAGATATGATTTATCCCAAGGGGAGTTTGGTGGCAGTCTCGGGACTCTCAATGATCCTTTGTGATCCCTTAGTTAAGATTTTACTGTATATACAGGTTGGTATTTTGCTTTATCATTTAGCATTTTCTCCACAAACATTTTTACCACACCAACAATAAAAGTTCTAAAAAACAAAAATTTTAATAGTAGAGAAATACTTTAAAGTAAAGATATGTTATAGTTTTTTTTTTTATTTTTTTATTGTGGTGAAATGTACACAGCAAAAAATTTACCATATTAACCATTTTTAGATGTACACCTCGGTGGCATTAAATGCATTCATGATGTTTATAAATGCGCCACTAACCATCTAGAACCTTTCATCATCATCCCAATCAGAAACTATTCACATTTAAACAATAACTCCCCTTACTCCTCAGCCCCTGGTAACCTCTATTCTACTTTCTGTTTCTATGAATTTGCTTATTCAAGGTACTGCTTATATGTTGAATTACACAGCACTTGTCCTTTTGTGTCTGGCTTATTTTATCTACAATAATGTTTTCAAAGTTCATCCATACTGTACTTGTATCAGAATTTCATTCCAGGGTGCCTGGGTGGGCTCAGTAGGTTAAGCATCTGACTCTTGATTTTGGCTCAGGTCATTATCTCACAGTTCATGAGATCAAGCCCCAAGCTGGGTTCTGCACTGACAATGGGAAGCCTGCTTAGGATTCTCTCTCTCCCTCTTTCTCTGCCCCTCCCCCGCTCTCATGGCCTCTCTCTCTCTCAAAATAAATAAATAAACATTTAACATTTTAGAAAAAGGAATGAAATTCTTTTTTATATTTTAGAGAGAGAGTGCACAAGCAAGGGAGAGGGGCAGAGGGAGAGAGAAAAGAATCTTAAGCAGGCTCCACACTCAGCATGGAACCTGACAGGGGACTTGATCCCACAACCCTAGGATCATGATATGAGTTCAAATCAAAGAGTCAGACACTTAACCAACTGAGCCACCCAGGCACCCCAGAATTTCATTCTTTTTTAAGGCTGAATAATAATCCACTGTACATATATACAACATTTTGCTTATCCATTCTTGTTGATGGACATTTGGATTGTTTCCACCATCCAACCATTGTGAATAATGATACTATGAACATTGATGTACAAATATATTTGAGTCCCCACTTTCAGTTCTTCTGTGTATATATATTTAGAAGCAGAATTGCTGGATTATGTGGTAATTTCATGTTTAACTTTTTGAGAAACCATCAAGCTCTTCCACAGTGGCTGTACCATTTTACATTCCCACCAGCAATGAATAAGGGTTCCAATATCTCAATGTTGTTGTTTTTTTCCCATTTATGGATAACAGCCATCCTAATAGGTGTAAAGTGGTATCTCATCATGGTTTGGATTTGCAACTCCTTAGTGACTAATGATGATGAGCATCTTATCATGTACTGGACTGCATAAAAGATCAGAAAGGTGGCCAAGATGGAATAATAGCAAATGGATTTATCCTCCCACCTAAAACACCAAAAACAGTAACAACAAAATGAAAAAAACAAACAACAAGAGAGAGAGAGAGAGAAAGGAAGGCAGGTAGGAAGAAAGGAAATAATCCTGACAAAATATATGAAACAATGGTTTTCAAGCACTGAACATCAGACAAAAACACTAATGCCTGAAAGTCAGGAAATAAAAAATTGAGCTCTACAATTGCCCTAGCTTACTTTCTTGAGAGAATTTCCAAACCACACAACAGAAAAGAGGAACTGAGGTTGAGTCCAGTGGGTTCCCTGAGTTGAAGAGACAGAGCTGAGTGTCCAGGCAGACAAATGTAGCTAGAGTTCGTAGGACAGAGTAACAGAAAAACCAGAGCTACACAAAAAACTCCAGCAATCCACCTCAAGTATTCAGCTGAGTACTGATCAGTATGTGCATAAAAATAAAACTACTCTAGACCAGGGAAAGAACCATCTAGAGAACAGTTCCCAATGCCACACCAGTGTCAGGCCACGGCAGCTACTCCTGCCAGCCAGACCAGAAAAACCCATAATTAGGAGTATTACATAGAATGCTCAGGAGGGTAGTGACATAACACTCCCCAGACCCACCTAATAAATCATAAAGCAACACCCAAAAGGATGAAACTGTTTCCAAATAACGGCACCTGAGAACAAAGTTACAAAATATTTAAAGAAATTTTTTAAAATCCAGCAACGAACAACATAGAATTCACAATATTTGGTATCCACTGAAAAATGTCTAGGCATGCAAAGAAGGAGAAAAATACAATCCACAATAAAGAGAAATATTAATCAATTGAAATAGACACAAAAATAACACAAATGATAGTTATAGAAAAAGTCACTAAAACAACTATTATAAATACACTCTATATTTTCAAAACATAGAAAAGATATGATGAGGTTAAGACAAGATAATACAAAAAGATTCATATCAAACTTTAAGAGATGACAAATACACTGGATAGTATTAACAGAAAATTAGACACAGAGAGCAAAAAGATATTAAACTTTGAAGATATAGCAATAAAAGCCAGCATAAATTAAAAAGAGAGGGGGGAAAATGAATATAGCATCAATGATCCCATGATATAACATGGAGCAGCCTCATTAATATACATATAATTGTAGTCCAAAAGGAAAGGAAAAGGGAAGTCAGAAAAAAAGTTAAGGCAAAAAAACTTTCTAAATGTTATGAAAACTTTAAATCCATACAAAGAAGAAAGTTAACATAGCTGACCTGAGGGTATACTCAGAAAGGCCTGCTTGCAATGTTGGTCCTTGTCTACCTCTGCTTACTTAGACACCAAGAGAGTTCCCAACCTCCCCTAAATGGTGAAAGTGTCTCCCTCTGCCTAAACCGTGCTAACAATATGGCTTAGTTTGAATACCTGTTTTCCTTCTTGAAATCTAAAATTTTGGTACATGCTTTTGGTACTAAAATTTTGGTACCAGCCCCCCAATAAAAACTCTGGGCACTGAGTCGCTAATGAGCTCCCCTGGCGGGCAATGCTTTACAGATGTTGTCAAAACTCATTGTTGAAGCAATTAAGCGTATCCTATGTGACTCCACTAGACTAGGATTCTTGAAAAATTGCAGATTTTGCTTTGTATCATTTCACTGTAATACATCATAGTCATGAGTATGACCATATACTAAGTTCTGAGTGTCCTCCTAGTGAATTACCAAACCTAGGGGTGGGCTTGGGGACCTCTGATTCCCCACATACCCAAAAAGCTTGATAAACTCCAAGCAGAAAACCACACATAGGCATATCACAATCATGCTGCTAAAAGAAGTGACAAAGAGAAAATCCTTAAAAATCAAGAATGAGAATAGCTTCACACTTCTTGACAGCAAATCTGGAACTAGAAGACAATGAAGCAATGTCTTCAAAATACTGAAGAAAAATGATTTCCAAACTACAATTCTACATAAATGGTTAGCCACTTATCAAAGTATGATAAATACATCTCTGGCATGCCATTTATCTTCCATAAATCCTTTCCTAAAAGATGTGCTTAATCAAACTGAGAATAAAAACCAAGAAAGAGGAAGACATGGAATCCAGGATAAAGTTGCTCTGCACAGAAGAGAAGTAAAGGGAATTACTGGAAAATGGTGAGGAGTGACCAAAGGGTGGCTACATCCACAAAGCAGTGGAACAAATTAGAGCAGCTAGGAGGCCGTGAGAATGAGTTCTCCAAGAAAACAAAACTGACAGAATGTCTGCTATGCCTAAAAACCTTAACAGGAGAGCCAAATGAGGACAAAAAGTTAGAGTTTTAATATCAATAAATAAAGCTAGGCAAACAAAAACCCAAAATAATTAACTCCAAGGAAAATGAAAAGTTTTGAAGGAAAAATAATCATAATTAATATTTGCCATGGCTATGAATATTACGTAATGCTGAATACTAATCTAAGCAAACCATGACACATGTGTCCTGGGAGAATGGAGGAATGGGAAAAGTGCAAAAGTGCAGGTGGAGGAGTGGGTGAGGAGAGTTACTGTGTTTATAAGTACATGACAAGCATGTTATTTAGAGACAAGGAAGTAAAGAATAAAAGAATCCCTAAGAATCAAAAGTGTCCTGGAAAAAAGAGTTAAAACTCAAACACTAAACGGCTATGATTGACAAATGTGACAAACAGAATGAAAAATTTTGAGACAACTGGTTCTTACCTTCAAGAGCTCAGAGAACCCCTCTTCACTAGTCGAAGAATGATTGCTTGAACAAGAAGCACAGTCTGATATTTCCACAACACTCTCACAGTCTTCAAATTCATTATACTCACTAGTATCTTCCCTGTCACTGTCAATCTCCCAGTCAATAAACTGTAGTTCATCTAAAAAATACAATTTTAAACAATTTAAAATCCTTAATATTTATTAATCCATTTTTTTAATTCTCAGTAGTTAAAAACATCCATATTGCTGAGTCATTTTTTAAAAATATATTACAAGACTGTGAAAACTATATTCCTACTCTTATCTCTAGCCATCCTGTTTCTCCTACTGCCCCTACTCCAATTCTCAGGTAACTACTTTCATTAGTTGTTTTTGTATCTTTCTAGAGTTCTCTAGCATATCCAAGCAAATAAAATATATTATTATTTTTTCCTCTTTTCCAATACACTTTGATTTCTTTTTACTTAACAGAGGTTTTCCCACATCAATTAACAGGCAACATCCTCATTCTTTTTAATAACATAGTATTCCATTACACAGTTAACCTACAGTTTATTTAATCAGTCTTCTACTAATAGACTTATTCAAGGATTTTCACCTAAAACTTTTTCTATATATTTCTCATCAATAAAGAAACAAGTAAATTTACTTTTTGGTTTACTTTATAAGCATTTTTATCTAGGTAGTACTTCTGCAAAATTTAATTTGGAAGTTAAATTATTTTCATATATTAAATAACCAAATTTAATCTGTATTTAAAGAAATAAAATTAGTTATTAAGGATAAATTAATCTCTGAGGTATCTCTGAGGAATATAACATAAACCTTTCCTACAGTACAAAACGCAAGTATTCCCCCTTACAGCTACTTCAGCAACTCAGAGGACAAGTAAGATATCTCAGCCCATTTCAGAGGTTTGACAGCAACAATCTTATTTCCACATAGAAGTCATATTAAAATAAAATAACTTACTAGCTTTAATAATTGAAGAAAATTCAAAATAAAAACAACAAGAACAACAAAGAAAAATTTCAGCTAAAGTTAAAAATATGGAATAAAGTAAACAAAAATGGAAGTCTTCTTTTATCTAACACTGTTGTTCCAGAAAATAGAAGTCCACTAGAGTAATTATAAAAGACTAGAGGTCAGACCAGTCTAAGAGAAGCAGGTGCATAATGGCAATTATTTCCCACATGTAACAACACATTTACTATGGAAGCCAGGCACTGGAATGCATAAGAAATTCTCCAGGTTGCTGAAGCATCACAGCAGAAAGCCACAGAAAGGCAGAGGAGGAACACAAGTGCCCTCAAAGCTACTGTACTTTTGTAGCATTTGTTCAATCATTCTTCATTTATTCAGTAGAATCAGTGCCTACTGAGGGGCTACTGTACCATTCTAGACACTCACAATACCAAAACAAGCAAACAAATAAATATAGGAGATAATACAGAACACTGTTCCTACCCTGAAAATGACAGACCACAACCAAAACTAATAAGACTTCATTGTTCACAATGTTTTTATGAAGCAGTCAAGACAATTAATGTTAGACTCAAATTTGCATTTTATAGATGAAGAAATTGAGTCTTCAAAAAGTTAAGAAGTTTTCTCCAAGTTATATAAAAGACAAACGGAGGGGGAAAGATTTTTTAAAGACGAAAATATTTTGACAATTTTAACTCAGAGCTCTTCCCTCTCAATCCCAATTCTGGCTTTAAGGCCCAGACAGTCTAATCCAATACAGCTGGAAGGAGGTCTGAATATATTGTTTTTAATTCATTCATTCATTCATTCATTCATTCATTCATTCATTCATTTAGAGAGAGGCAGAGGGAGAAGGAGAGAAAGAATCCCAGACAGGATCCACGCTCAGCATAGCTCAATCTCACGACCATGAGATCGCTGAGCTGACACTTAACTGAGCCACCCAGATGCCCTAGGTATACTGTTTTAAAAGTTCACTTGGAAATTATGATAAGAAGCCAGGTTTGGTAAGCACCAGAACAGTGTTGAAGCATACAGCATTGAAGTTACACATCCCAACCAATAATATCAATTGGCATACTTGTTAAATATGTGACTCTGGGCAAGCCATTTGACTTCTCTGAGTCCCAATTTCCTTCTATAAAACAAGGGTACTCTGCTTACAGGATGTAGTTGATATAAAAGGAAATAATATACATATGCCCCAAGTGTCTGGGGTAAAATAAGAAACTGATAAATGGTAATTAAAGGTAAAATGAGGGAGGGAGGAGGAGAAGGAAAAGGAAGAGAAAGATAAGCCAGCATTTACACACATGATAAGATACACTCCAAGGGATCATTTATTTTTTACCCAACAGTCAACTTGCTTAACAGAAGTCAACAACTTGTGAACTTATTTAAAAAAAAAATTTTTTAATGTTTATTTATTTTTGAAAGAGAGAGAAAGAGAGAGCAAGAGACAGAGCATGAGCAGGGAAGGGGCAGAGAGAGAGGAAGACACAGAATCTGAAGCAGGCTTCAGGCTCTGATCTGTCAGCACAGAGCCAGACTCGGGGCTCAAACCCTCCCACTGCGAGATTATGACCTAAGCCAAAGTCGGATGCTTAACAGACTGAGCCACCCGGACACCCCATGTGTACTCATTTTAAAGTAGTTAACTCAAGGAGGAAGAGTTAAGATGGTGGAGGAGTAGTGGGACCCTATGCTTGTCTCCTCCCTTGAATAGAGATAAATATCAAATCATTCCAAACACCCAAAAAATTGATCTGAGAACTAAGGTAACAAACTATACATCTAGTGGTGGAAAAATCGCCACATCATGGAAGGTAGGAGCTACAGAGAGTTGATTTGGAGGAGGAAAGAACTGCAGATGCCATGAAAGGGAGGGAGCCATGATAATGGAGAAAGGAGCAAAAGAAAAAAGAAAGAGAGAGAAAGCAGCACCCAGGGGACTGCACAAGAAAAACTCTTCCCCAAAATCACTAACTGGGAAAAGGAGAGGGGCTGAATTCTGCAGAAGTTTTAGAAAGCCCCACCATTGCAGGGGTCATGCCTGGTGGGACTAGCAGTGCTCCTGTGGGGAAGGACGCAGAGCCTGGAGAGCAGGAAGTGTGGTCTGAGGATTCCCTGGGTCACAAGGGGAGAAACAGTTCCCTTTCTTGGGGTGCAGCTGGAAAGGTGGCACAGCCTCTCAAGGGATAAGAGAGCTAACAAGAGCCAACATGCCGCCCTGTACACTAGCATAGAACAGAGACATCTATTGAGGGCAGCAGACCTTGGTTGCCAGCTTCTTTGCTGTGCTTTACCATAAACTCCAAACCACTGTGTGGTTGTGCGACTGCTTTCCTGGGACAAACCTGCACCAGCCACAGCGTGCTAAGACCCTCCCCCAGAGGATCAGTGCCGGTCCATGCCACGTAGATCGGTAAAATCTGGAGATTTAAAAGCCAGCTGCATGCCTGAGATAAAACACAGGAGGTACTGGCAGGCACAGACAGATGCTTGGACACAGACAGGGTGAAGTCAGGGATCTGACAGACACCAGGGACATAAGAGAAGTGAGAACTTCCTGAAGAGTAGTATGCACGAACTCTCTGCTCTAGGGATAAGAAGGTGGGGTGACATCATTTCCTCTGCCCATCAGCACTGACCAACTTCAGTGAGCAAAACAGTGCCACTAAGTGGTGGCCAGAGCCACTTACACCAAGCCCCGCCCCCTGTGCCCTGCAGGGGCATCTCCACTAAGCAAATCTGCCTGAGAATCAGCCTAGCAGGCTGCTCCCCCGGAAGACCAGCACAAACCCCTCGCACACACCTAGTCTACTGATCATAGAGGCTGCAAAGCTTCAGCTCTAAGGGAGATAGGCTCTAGTTTCATTTAACAAGCAGACCAAAATACAGCTAATTAAAACGTGCCATACAGTGGACAAGGTCCAAAAACCCCGCACTGCAGGCAAGGAGAAACTATGCAGGAGACTGACCTCAGGGAAGGTGCAGCCAAAATATAACAGCAAAGTGCACACGCAAACACTTCCTGTAGCACCAGGCCCAAGATAATATAGGACCTCTTCTTAATATAGCCATTACTCTCAGGAGCAGGAATAGAAAAGGCTTTCCAGACAGTCATACAAAAAAAAAATTAACCTAGACAAAATGACAAGATGGAGGAATTCACCCCAAAGGAAAGAACAGGAAGAAGTACTGGCAAGGGATTTAATCAAGATTGACATAAGTAAGATGCCTGAATTAGAATTTAAAACAACAATCATAAGGATACTAGCTGGGCTTGAATAAAGCATAGAAGATACTAGATAATCCCTTGCTACAGAGATAAAAGAACTAAAAACTAGTCAGGATGAAATAAAAAATGCTAGGGGCACCTATGTGATTCCTTTGGTTAAGCATCCGATTCTTGACTTCAGCTCAACTGAGTCATGATCTCAAGGTTGGTGGGTTCAAGCCCCATGCTGGGTTCTGCATTGACAGTGTGAAGCCTGCTTGAGATTCTCTCTCTCTTCCTCTTTCTCTGCCCCCCTCCTCTCGCTCTCTCTAAATAAATAAACTTCAGAAAAAATTTATTGAAAGAAAATGCTAGAACTGAGACACAAAACTGACTGGATGCAATGACAATGAGGATGGGCGAAGCAGAAAAATGAATCAGTAATATACAAGATAAAATCATGGAAAATAATAAAGCTGAAAAGAAGAGGGAAAGTAGTGGATCATGAATGTACTCAGGGAAATCAATGGCTCCATAAAGAGTGATAACATTTGTATCATAGGAATTCCAGAAGAAGAAGAGAGACAAAAAGACGAAGAGGGTTTATCTGAGCAAATTACAGCTAAAAAGTTCCTTATCTGAGGAAGAACACAGACATCCAAATCCAAGAGGCACAGAGAATTCCCACTAAATTCAACAAAAGCCAGCCCACAACAAGACATATCATAGTCAAGTTCACAAAATACATAGACAAGGAAAGAATCCTGAAGGCAGCAAGGGAAAATAAGTCCTTAAACTACAAGGGAAGACAAATCAGGTTCACAGCAGATCAAAGTACATCATGTAAGGGAAAAATATACAGCCAAGAATTCTTCATCCAGCAAGGTTGTCATTCAGAATAGGAGAAGAGACAGAAAATTTCTCAAACAAAAACTATGATCACTAAACCAGCCCGCAAGAAATTTTAAGGGGGACTTTATGAGTAAGAAAGACAGACCAAAACCAATAAACACTGGAAAGGACCAGAGAATATCACCAGAAACACCAATTTTATGGGTAACACAATGGCACTAAATTCATATCTATCAATAATCACTCTGTATGTAAACGGACTAAATGCTCCAATCAAAAGACATAGGTATCAGAATGGATAAACAAATTAAAAAATTAAAAAAAGACCCATCTAGATGCTGCCTACAAGAGACTCATTTTAGACCTAAAGACACCTGCAGATTGAAAGTGAGGGGATGGAGAAACATCTATTATGCTAATGGACATCAAAAGAAAGCTGGAGTAGCCATACCTATATTAGACAAACTACATTTTAAAACAAAGACTGTAACAAGAGATGGACACTATATCATATTAAGAGGTCTATCCTCCAAGATCAAGCAATTGTAAATATTTATGCCCCCAACTGGACAGCACCCAAATATATAAATTAACTAATGACAAATATAATTAGCTCAAAATACCTTTCTAGTCTTAAATAGTTTGAAAACTACTATCTCTTTTAATAAAGGACATAAACAGTTTTTATTTCTTTTAATAGCAGCTTTAATGAGATGTAATTCACATACCATACTATCCACCCATAAAAAGCATAGTTTTTAATATAAATGAAATTATGTTCTGAGATGTGTAAAGACAAACCAAGAGTTACATAACAATGAATATCATTTAATATGATTGAATTAACAATATAAGAGCTGCCAGCTTATGTATAACCTTAAAATACCACTTCATCTGTTTATTACTAGAATGTCAATTGGTAGTTACCAAGATGACATACAAAGTGGTCAAAGGAATAAAATGACCTTCCACAGAGTTTGTCTGCATAAACTTAACCTTGACCAAGTACCTAACTCATATGAACTTCAAAGAGTTAAAAGTCAAAGTTTATTTTGAAAGCATTAAGACTTTTAAATACTCTGGATAAGCTATATTTTAAAAATTGTAAAACGACTGATTTTCCTAATTCTAAAAGTCTGTGGTTCTCAACTGGGGATGTCCTTCTGGGGATATCTTACAACATCTGGAGACATTCACAGCTGTCACAAATGGGACTGGGGGAACTACTGTCATCTAGCAAAAAAAAGGCTAGAGATGCTATTAAACACCCTACACTACACAGGAAAGTCCCTCTCCCCCCAACAAAGAATTTTTTGGCCCCAAATGGCATTAGTGCCAAGGTTGAGAAACTCTCCTTCAAATTGTCAAAAACATAATAATACAATATGGGCACCCTGAATGGCTCAGTTGGTTGAACATCTGACTCTTAATTTTGGATCAGGTCACGATCCCAGGGTTGTGGGATTGGGCCCATGTCCATGCTCAGCATGGAGCCTGCTTAAGATTCTCTCCCTCCTTCTGCCTCTCTCCCCCATTCACACTCTCTCTCTCAAATAAATAAAAAAAATTTTTTTAAACCCACAATATAAAATGCCATCAGAACAGAAACTTGTATTACACTTCTACCACACATTGGCTATCACAGTATTTACCCAAATCAGGTCAGCAAGGAGGCAAAATAGGTGCAGCACTATGCAGTAGTTGAAAGACCTGGCTTTGCTGTCAGAGACCCTAAGTGGAATCCCAATCAACTCTACACGTTCAAGCTTAAGTTGTTAGCTGTAAAAATAATACTTGTAATACTTATCTCTTAGAGTTGTTGTGAGAAATATTAAATGAGAAAATGTTTCTAAAGGGCTGAGCATAGAGGCCAAGACTCAGTATAGTCATCACTAATACTAAATGTTATAAAAGGATTGATGTTTTTTCCAATACTGAACCCAATATATAACAGAAAGAGGTAAGAAACAAATTTCATTTTACCTTCACTGGCCCCATCTTCTGTACATAAAATATTCTTGTTCCTATTAGAAAATCTGTCTATCCTAGAACTATGTCCATTATCTCTTTGTGATTTAAAAAGTGTTTTATCCTCATCTGACACATCACTTCCACTGGAACTCCATGTTATATCTGTAAGTCCACTGGTACTCTTAGATGCAGCAGTTTCTGTTAAAGAAAAAAGAAAATACATAAACACAATTAACTGATAGTTCTTTATCAGAATAAGATTTTATGCATGTTACTTTGCTGAAATCACAAATAATAAAATTCTAATGATAATGAAAGCAATGTCTTATGCCAAATCTTCCTGCCTGAAGTTCTATGTGAAGCACAAGATTCTTTGAATTAAAACCAAATTATAAGAAGAAAAAGAAGTAGAACAAATTGAGTTAAGTTATAAAAGACAAGGAAATTGGGGCACAAAGAGAAACTCAAAAAATTAACCGTGAAATAATTACAGAAGTATAACTTCCTAGAATATTTTATGAACCAAAAGAAAAACACAAAACAAACCATAAATCCAATACTTCTGTACAACAGAAATGCTTCTATGTGCCTCCTTTGCCATACTGGGAGCCCTGGTAGCAGTATTGTGCTTAAAAACACTTAACAGCAAACTTTTATTTAACTAAATTTGTTATTTTGAGGTAATAATAGATTCACCTATAGGCATAAGAAGCAATAAAGAGAGCCCTTGTATGCTTTACCCAGTTCCTCCAATGGTAACATTTTGCAAAACGTAACATCACAACCAGAATGTTGATTCTGATACACTCAAGACATAGAACAATCCCATCACCATGAGGATATCTTGTTACCTTTTCATTTTATTTATCTATTATTATTTTTCAAATAGGCTTCATGCCCAGTGCAAAGCCCAATGTGGGTTTGAACTCATGACCTGGAGATCAAGACCTGAGCTGAGATCAAGAGTCAGACACTTAAGCAACTGAGCTTCACAGGTGCCCCTTGTATTACCTTTTTTAAAGCCACATCATAGCTACCCTCTTTTCCCCAATTCTGAACCTCTGCAAATGAATCAGTTTTTACACTTTTGTAATTTTGTCATTTCAAGAATGATATACAAATGGAATCATACTATGTGACCCTTCAGGATTGGCTTTTATGTGGCATAATTCCCTGCACATTCATCCAAGTTGTTCTATGTAGCAACCCTTTCTTTCTATTACTAAGTAGTATTCCATGATTTGGATGCACCAGAGCTTGTTTATCCATTCAATAACTAAAGGGCATCTGTGTTGTTTCTAACTTGGGGTTATTATGAATAAAGCTGCTATAAATATTGCACATGGAGTTTTATGTGAATGCAATTTTCATTCTCTAGGATAAATGTCAAAAGGCAATTGCTGATTGTACAGTAATTGCATGTTTAGTCTTCTAAGAAACTCGGGGCGCCTGGGTGGCGCAGTCGGTTAAGCGTCCGACTTCAGCCAGGTCACGATCTCGCGGTCCGTGAGTTCGAGCCCTGCGTCAGGCTCTGGGCTGATGGCTCGGAGCCTGGAGCCTGTTTCCGATTCTGTGTCTCCCTCTCTCTCTGCCCCTCCCCCGTTCATGCTCTGTCTCTCTCTGTCCCAAAAATAAATAAAAAACGTTGAAAAAAAAATTTAAAAAAAAAAAAGAAACTGCCAAACTATTTTCCAGAGTGGCTGTACCATTTTACAGTTCCATCAGCAATGCATCAGTTTCTCCATATCATTTACAACATTTGATGTTGTCACCACTTTTTATTTTAGCCATTCTGATAGATGGAAAACCTAGAAGGAATGGGGCTACTCCATCTTGGTGTAATAGGAAGTTCACAGAAAATTTTTCTGATAGTGATCAGAAAAGGAATATATACTTCATAAAAATCAATTTTTCTACTTATATTTATCTAATTGAGTTATAATGTTAAACTTAAAAAAAGTACCTTAGACACATTACAATGAGATTAAGAGATTAGATATTATAATTCAAGTTTTACAGAAGAGGAAACAGGCTCAGAAATTAAATGGCTTCGGGCGCCTGGGTGGCTCAGTCAGTTGAGCCTCCGACTTCAGCTCAGGTCATGATCTCACAGCTTGTGGGTTCGAGTTCCGTGTTGGGCTCTGCGCTGACAGCTCAGAGCCTGGATCCTCCTTCAGATTCTGTGTCTCCCTCTCTCTCTATCCTTTCTCTGCTCATGCTCTGTCTCTCTCTGTCTCAAAAATAAATAAACATTAAAAAAAAGAAGTTAAATGGCTTCATTTAATACATATTTACATAACAACTCTGATATAGTAAACCTTGAGGAAACAGAAAAATAAGAAAACTCCTCCCTCAAGTAATGCATGGTCTGAAAGGTATGAAAAAATGCAATTGCTCCACTTTGTGTTGATCAGGAAAGGAGATTCGCTGACAAGATGATGTCTGAAAATACAGTACTTACAAAGGCACAAAACCAGAAAATAATTATATACATTTATTGACACTTACTTTGTGCCATGAACACCCAGAATTACTAAAGTTGTCTACCTTCAAGATACAAAATTAAAAATAAACTAAAGTTCATCCATATAGATTTAAATAGCTAATAAAAACTAAACTGTGTATATATTGCAAAAGACATTATCAAACCCTTATATTATTATGCATCAGGAAGAGTAAACTGAAAAGGAAGGAGTGGAATGCTATAGACTGAATGCTTATATCTCTTAAAATTTACCCTGTTGAAACTTAATCCCCAATGTGTGAGATTAAGAGGTGGGGATTTGGGGGTGATTAGGTCATGAGGGTGAAGCCCTCATGAATGGCATTAGTAGTCTACAAAAGAAGCCCCCAGAGAGATTGCTGACCCCTTCTTCCATGTGAGTCCACAGCAAGATGATACTGTCATGAACCTGAAGTGAGTCTTCACCAGACACTGAATATACTGGACCTCCAACCTCCAGAACTGTGTGAAATAAATTTCTGGTGTTTATAAGCCACCTAGTCTGTAGTATTATTGTTATAGCAGCTTGAACAGACTGAGACAGGAAGTAAAGCTACTGCTATTTTCAGATTCTATAATGAATTTATGGAATTCATAAACCCCTGAATTATAGGTACTTTATATAATTTATATAGATAAAATCACTACAGATAAAATGACTTCTAGGAAGAACATTAGCTAGACTGAGAATAGTTACAACAGGTAAGCATTTTGGGTAACCACTGCATGCAGGCATTGTGCTAGCACGTGGTGTTATGGACTGAATTGTGTTGCCCCAAAGGTCATTCATATGTTTAAGTTCCAACATCCCAGCATCCCAGAATGTGATTATTTGAAGACAGGGTCTTTACAGAGGTGTCAAATTATTCTAATATGACAAGTGCCCTCACAGGATACAGTCAGGACACCAAGGGGCCAAAGGAGATCCCTGAGGTCCCAAGCCCTGACTCTCCCTGCCCACCCACAGGGTAACTGAGTACGGCAGCAGTCAGCAGCCTCCCTGATATCCATCCCCTTTTTTTCCTTACTAACAAAACCCCAATTTTATTTGAGAAGCAACATACATATTTAAAAATCTTTAATTTCACTGAAGTCCCTTTAGTAGAAGTGACCCTATATAACAAGTTCTGGCCAAAGGTTGAGGTCCAGGGGGGGCGGGATTCCTTTCCAGACAAAAAGTATACCTGGAGAGAATCCGCAAAGCCCACACTCCTCTTGAGAATTGGGCCCGGAGAATTCAGCTTCCACCTCATGACGGCAAGAACAAACTCCACACTAAGGCTGCCGGACTCAGAACAATTCTGACTCCCTGAACTTCTTGTTGCAGGAGATAAATTCAACTCCATTTCTTCACACACTCTAACAGTTTCTATGTATCTGCAACTGAAAGCTTTCCCTAACTAATTCACCAAGTTAAGAATTCCACTGCCTGAAATAGTACAGTCCTTATATAATAGGTCATAACTTTATTTCCCAAATCAGAAATTTTAAATTCTGGGGCTGTGAGCCTAAGCTAACCTACCGGGCTCTGCTCATTAAGAGTAAATCCAGGAAGGACACAAGAAAAATTTTAATAATTACTTATAGGAAGAAAGACAAAATGTGATAGATGGTGACAAAGATTAGAGAGAGATTTCTCAAAAATATGTTTTTTACATTTTGGAAAACACAAATATACAGTCTACCCAAACTATGTTAAATAACTTTTTAAAAGAAAGTAAATAAATCAAAGAAGGATATATTAGTCTTATACCTTTTCTGTCAATAAATCAACAAAAATATTACCTTCCTTGGGTCTCAGGGATAATTCAAGGTGCTTCTCTGTAACAATCTTCTTTTCAGCCGTTAACAACTGCAGGAAGAAGAAGAAGAAGAAGGAGAAGAAGGAGAAGAAGGAGAAGAAGGAGAAGAAGAAGGAGAAGAAGAAGGAGAAGAAGAAGGAGAAGAAGAAGAAGAAGAAGAAGAAGAAGAAGAAGAAGAAGAAGAAGAAGAAGAAGAAGAAATTTATAACAAGGGCTAAAACCAAAACTATTTTGTAATACTCAAAACCTTAAACTATACCCTCCTTAAAATATCCCTGTTTTATTTATATTTACCAGTAAGTATTTTCAAAGCACATACTCCTCATATATATATATAAATATTTTTATATTTTCCCAGAATCTAAACAGAGAACCATTAAAAGTTTATAACAGTATTCTATTTTGTACACATTTACATTATCAGTATTTCAAAATCTGCACATATACAAAAATTAACTAGAATATCTTGTTGCCAAAAGATTCTAAGGATATAAAAGCATTTCATAAATATATTTCTTGTGAAGAGCAGGATGCTCAAAGATTTTATCTTCTGAGAAACTTCTCAGCATGTAACCTTCATTTACAAAAAAGTACAAAGGTTGTGCCTAGCATAAAGAAGTGGCAAAAATGAATTCAAGGTTGAGCAAAGAAGAATGTAGTAATTACTGTATCCTGAAATAAGGAAAGGAATTCCAAAGAAATATAAATACAGTGGCCTGAACACTCAGGAATCTAAGATTTATCTCAAATTTGGCACTCAAGGAAACAATTTTACAACTACTTTACCAGGGTCCCAGAAGTGTCCTGAAATCCTTCTCCACACCTGAGCCATGCTTCAGAGAGAGAGGCAGTTGCCCCCACTGTCCTGAGACCTGCTCTTCTGAACTTCAGTGGACTCCCTCCAGGTAAGGATGGGTATTCTATATCCCAATTTCTTTTTCTCTGTGGAGATTGTTTTTAAAGAAAAACAAAAAAAACAAAAATGAAATCACCTTCATAAATATATATTAACTTGACAATTAACAATGTGGAAACATAGGAATGGCAATGGTGAAGGCATAGTTTTTAAATGTCTCTGAATCCCCATGTAAAAAAGAGTAACAAGAAAGCAAAACAAAAAGCACAGAAGCATGTACAACTAGAAAATAAATTCCAAAATACAAATGGGTAAGGACAAACATTCAACCCTGCAAAGTCCTACATATGCTCCTATTTGAGAGCAAAGCTGTGAGAAGTGAAGGAGCAAAGGAGAATTTGAGCACAGAGACATGTGGTGTTCACTAGGAAGTGGGGCAGGCGATCTGAGAATGAAATGGTACCTAAAACAGGGTGAGGGCAAGAGTTCCACTCAAGAAGATCCAAAGGAGTGGGGGCAGTCTAGGGATACTCAGTACTTGTGAGCCAGGACTACGTTCTTGGACAGGACCCCATACTGTGGAGAAACTGCTAGCAGTGGAATCTGCTAAGCAGCACAGGGATGGTACAGACAAAAAAGGAAAGGTCCAAGTGGAGTTGAGGAAAAGAAATGAGCCAGGAAATATCTAAATAACAAATTAACAAGTGGCCATAACTTGCAAACTACAAGAAAACAACAGAAATTAGAAAAGTTATTTTGAATCCTGCCTTCTTCTAAAAATTCACAAAAACTGTAACATAAAAATAAGCAATAGAAAGAGATCAAGTTCAAATCCCATACAAAATTATTATTACAAAAAACAGAAAGGAGTAGAATAACATCCCAACACACAAAGAAAGCACAACAAAGACATATTCATAAAACAGAAAAAGTGTAACCTACTATTTGAAAATAAGACATTCAGATTATAAAAACTCAGAAATGAAGTAACAAAACCTAAGAGGTAGAACAAAGTTTAAAAATCAGCTCAGGGAAAGAGCCCAAATGTCCACTGACTAATAAGTGGATAAAGAAGACGTTGTATATACACACAATGGACTATTATTCAGCCATAAAAAAAGAATGAAATCTTGCCATTTGCAACAACATGGATGGAACTACAGTGTATTATGCTAAGTGAAATAAGTCACTCAGAGAAAGACAAATACCATATGATTTCACTCATATGTAGAATTTAAGAAACAAAACAGATGAACATGGCAGAGAGGGGAGAGAGAGAAACACAAACCATTAAGCAGACTTTTTTTTTTTTTTAATGTTTATTTTTGAGAGAGAGAGCACATACACGAGCGAGTCGGGGAGGGGCAGAGAGAAAGGGAGACATAGAATCCACAGCAGGCTCCAGAGCCCAATGCAGGGCTCAAAACCACAAATTACAAGATCATGATCCGAGCTGAAGTCAGACACTTAACTGACTGAGCCATGCAGGGACACCAAACAGACTCTTAAGTATAGAGAACAAGTTGAGGGTTGGTAGGGAGGAGATGGGCGGGGGATGGGTTAAATGATGGGGATTAAGGAGGGCACTTGTAATGAGCACTGGGTGTTATATGTAAGTGATGACTCACTAAATTCTACTCCTGAAATTAATATTACACTATACATTAACTAAAAGCTTAAAACAAAAAATAAAGTGACATATTCTCTTAACATGGAAAAAAAAAAAATCCGCTCAGGAAAAAAAAAGACTAAACTGGAAGGAATCCAAGAACAAGTAGCTATCACAGATAATATCTTAAGAGATATAGAAAGTAATAAGGTAGAAATTTTAAATTTCACCCACCTCCGGTGAAGAAAATAAAAGGATTCAAGAGAAAGAGTGATTAAATCTCTCTTAGGATCCAACATACAGATAAGAACAATCCTTGAAGAAGAAAACCAAGATAATGGGATAGAACAATTTTTTTAAAAGACTTAATACCTATTTTCTCAAACTGTTTCAAAAAATAGAAATGGAAGGAAAGCATCCAAACTCATTCTATGAAGCCAGCATTACCCTGATTCCAAAACCAGACAAAGACCCCACTAAGAAGAATTATAGGCCTATATCCCTCATGAACCTGGATGCAGAAATCCTCAACAAGATATTAGCAAATCGAATTCAACAGTACAGTAAAAGAATTATTCACCATGATCAAGTGGGATTTATTCCTGGGCTTCAGAGCTGCTTCAATATTCACAAATCACTCAAGGTGATACTCCACATTAATCAAAGAAAGGATAAGAACCATATGATCCTCTCAGATACAACATTTGACAAAACACAGCATGCTTTCTTGATAAAAACCCTCAAGAAAGTAGGGATAGAAGAAACATACCTCAACATCATAAAAGCCATAAATGAAAGGCCCACAACAAATATCATCATCAATGGGGAAAAACAGAGCTTTCCCCCTAAGGTCAGGAACACGACAAGCATGTCCACTATCACCACTGTTGTTCAACATAGTATTGGAAGTCCTAGCCTCAGCAATCAGACAACAAAAAGAAATAAGAGGCATACAAATTGGCAAAGAAGAAGTCAAACATTCACTCTTTATACATGACATGATACTCTATATGGAAAACCTGAAAGATTCCACCAAAAAACTACTAGAGCTGATACAGGAATTCAGCAAAGTCACAGGATACAAAATCAAAGTACAGAAACTGGTTGCATTTCTATACACCAATAATGAAGCAGCTAAAAGAGAAATCAAGGAATCAATCCCATTTATAATTACACCAAAAATCAGAACATAGCTAGGAATAAACTTAACCAAAGAGGTAAAAGATCTGTATGCTGAAAACTATAGAAAGCTTATCAAAGAAATTGAGTAATACACAAAGAAATGGAAAAAGATTCCAAGCTCACAGATTGGGAGAACAAATATTGTTAAAATGTCTATACTACCCACAGAGAACAAACTAAGGGTTTGGGGTGGGAGCGGAAGAGAGGAAAAAGAGGTGATGGGCATTGAGGAGGGCATTTGTTGGGATGAACACTGGGTGTTGTATGTAAGTGATGAATCATGGGAATCTACTCCCGAAATCAAGAGCACACTGTATACACTGTATGTTAGCTAACTTGACAATAAAATATATTTTTTAAAAAATGTCTATACTACTCAAAGCAATCTACACATTCAACACAATCCCTATCAAACTAAAACCAGAATTCTTCACAAAGCTAGAACAAACAATCCTAAAATGTGTATGGAACACGAAAAGGCCCCGAATAGTCAAAGTAATATTGAAAAAGAAAATCAAAGCTGGATGCATCACAATTCCAGACTTCAAGCTGTTTTACAAAGCTGTAATTATCAAGACAGTATGGCACTAGCACAAAAACAGACACATAGATCATTGGAACAGAATAGAAACAGAACAAAGAACCCAGAAATGGACCCACAAATGTATGGCCAACTAATCTTCAACTAAGCAGTAAAGACTATCCATTGGAAAAAATAGTCTCTTCAGCAAATGGTGCTGGGAAAACGGGCCAGTGACATGCAGAAGAATGAACCTGGACCCCTTCCTTACACCATACACAAAAATAAATTCAAAACAGATGAAACACCTAAATGTGAGACAGGAAACCATCAAAATCCTACAGGAGAAAACCAGCAGCAACATTTTTTTTTTTTACCTTGGCTGTAGCAACTTCTTATTTGACAAGTCTCTGGAGGCAAGGGAAAGGAAAGCAAAACTTAACGATTGGGACCTCATTAAGATAAAAAGCTTCTGCAGGGACCCCTGGGTGGCTCAGTCAGTTAAGCATCCGACTTCGGCTCAGGTCATGATATCGCAGTTCACTGGTTCAAGCCCTGCGTTCAGCTCTGTGCTCAGAGCCTGGAGCCTGCTTCGGATTCTGTGTCTCCCTATCTCTCGCAAAAATAAAAATAAACATTAAAAAAAAAAAAAAAAAAGATTCTGCATAGTGAGGAAACAATCAACAAAACTAAAAGACAACTGATGGAACGGGAGAAGATACGTGCAAATGACATATTGGATAAAGAGTTAGTATCTAAAATGTATAAAGAACTTATCAAACTCAACACTCAAAAAACAAATAATCCAGTGAAGAAATCAGCAGAAGACAATAGACACCTTTCCAGAGAAGACATCCAGATGTCTAACACACATGAAAAGATGCTCAGTATCACTCATCATCAGGGAAATACAAATCAAAACCACAATGAGATACTACCTCACACCTGTCAGAATGGCTAAAATTAACAAGTCAGGAAACAACAGATGTTCGCAAGGATGCGACCTTTTGCACTGTTGGCAGGAACGCAAACTGGTGTAGCCACTCTGGAAAACAGTGTGGAGGTCCCTCAAAAAATTAAAAGTAGAACTACCTTATAACCCAACAATTGCACTACTAGGAATTTATCCAAAGGATACAAAAATGCTGATTCGGAGGAGCACATGCACTCCCAATGTTTACAGCAGCTCTATCAAAAACAGCCAAAGTATGGAAAGAGCCCAAATATCTATCGACAAATGGATAAAGAAGATGTAGTGTGTGTGTGTGTGTGTGTGTGTGTGTGTGTGTGTGTGTATCTACATATACATACATATACACATATGCATATATATACATATATGCACATGTATATACATATGCATATACGTACGTATGTATATAATGGAACACTACTCAGTGATCCAAAAGAATGAAATCTTGCCATGTGATACAACGTGGATAAAACTAGAGTGTATTATGCTATGCAAAATATGTCAGTTAGAGAAAGACAAATATAATTTCACTCATATGTAAAATTTAAGAAAGACAACAGATGAAAATAGGGGAAGGGAAGGAAAAATAAGAAAACAGAGAGGGAAGCAAACCATAAGAGACTCTTAAATATAGAGAACAAAATGAGGGTCGCTGGAGTGGAGGTCAGTGGGGGGATGGACTAAATGAGTAA